CTCTCTTCTCCCGAAAGAGCTTTTGTGGGTGTCATAAAAGGAAGGACTTCCAAGTAACGAGCGACCACCCCAACAAACACAATTTAAAGAAGAGACCTAACCCTAGCCCAAACCCTACCCCAAAAAAGAACCTGCAACGGCCCTTATGTAAAAGGCCAGCACACGTCCAAAATGAAAAAAACAACAACCTCCAAAAGAGAAGCATAATATAGCCTACTACTTTGCTATAACACGGTTTGTTACAATAACACAGTACAATTGGAATATGAATCGTCCATTTAGATCTAGATCTAGTAATCTAAATAAATCTAGAATCCAGACTCTAGATCTAGAAGAACAAGTGAATAGGAATAGGAGGCTTTGAACTTTGAACGAGAAATCCGCATCCGATTCCAAACACTCGAACAGAGAGAGGGACTCAGCTGATGAGTCAAAGATTCTAAATAAATAGTTCACGCACCTGATGAAAGGCTTTTTACCAGCATTAATATTACAGCACAACCTATAATAGGATTTGACACAATAGAATTGGAATATGAATCCCCCATTGAGGTCTATTATGGTCTATAAATCTATATCTAGATCTAGAACAAGTAAGTCGGACTCAATCTAACAATGAATCCACATGAACAGTCAACAAACAAAATTCAAAATGGCCGCTCTAGCACAAAACTGAAAGTAGATAATTTAGGTCGTCGTCCTTTTTCGTACTCGTATTTCTACTCAGGTTCCGACAGTCATGTCGGAAATGCCGACGTCGGCATGCGCACGAAAACGAAAGTGCCGACAAAGCCGACGGGAGAAAAAGGGGGCGCTGGCAGTCGGCCAGGCCTCGCACTTCGCACATTGACTTATACAGTGTACAGGTAGGCCTAGCGATAGCATCGGCCGGCTCGCGGGTTGGGTCGCGATTGTCGGATTTCAGACGATTGTCAGCAAACATGCATGTCTAAAAATGGAAATTTTTCTAATCTGCAACCAAGAAAAAGGTGCAGAGAGGTCTAAGAAGAAAGATTCCGTTTCCTCATTGTAATATGAGAGGAAATCAATGCAATACCTTTCCGAAAATTTCGGACGACTTTTCGCAAGTGCTCAATATGAGAAGGGTCATAGCTTGGAATTTTCCTCAAGTTGTTGTTACGGACTGCCACCAAAACATCCAGCACGAAACGTATGCGTGCTTGCATGCCCACTTCTGCTGAGCTTTCAATAATCCTTGCCTTTGCCTGGATATCAAGTATGGCCTGTTTCAACCTCACTGGATCATCTTTGCACAGACTGAATCCAACTGCTTATGTGGATGGAAAAGAGTGGAAAGAAGTTCACAAATGTGATGGTTGCAGTTTGTCACTCAAATAGAAAGTAAGTAATCCTGAAAAAAAAAAGGCATTTTTCCTCGACATTTGACCACACAAAAACAAAAAAGAAAAATGAAAGAATTCATATCGTCGGCAGAGAATTCTAACCGTCTAACTCGAAATTTTCTCGAATTGCTTTTTCCCGTAAAATAGATCGACATAACGAATGGCTACGTCCTATTAAAATCTAGAACAATTTTGACAAACAAAAGTCTTGTTTTAAAGAGAAATTCTAACCGTATATTCCGACTGACTTCCGTGACTGAAGAATTCTAACCGTCTAATTCATTTAGGTAGCCCGCCATTGTGGATCACGGCGATAACGTTTTGCTCTGAAGGAGGCATTTGATTATGAATAAATGTAAAATCAGAAAAGGCTGCTTTTGTTAAAGGGTTGGTTGACTGTGTCGAGCCTGTGGAGAAAAAGGAGAGAGAAAGCAGAAGATCGTGGTCCATGAAGTACTATCTGCGAGTGAATGGAGCCAGAGTAAAAGTGTGCACGGCTTTTTTCTTAAGTCCTGTACTTTGTTTCTAGTGTGTTCACATTGTTCTCACATGTGGGTTGGGTGTAGCAGAGGGTGAGGTTCCAGTTCAGAGAAAAAGGGTTAGGGATGAGACTACAGCATCAAAGGTACTTAAACAGTTTCTTCGTGATCTGCCCAAGTTGCCGTCTCACTATTGCCGAGGGACTCCAGTAAGTTATACTTGGAACCTGTTTTCCAGAGCTTACAGGCAGTGTACCCCCGTTTGTATAAAAAAAAGTATGAGTTTTTTTTTTTTTTTTTTTGGGGGGGGGGGGGGGGGGGGATGTGTATGTTATGTCTCAAATGAATTCGAAGGTGCTCTGACTGCAAATAAATTTGCTCCTTGTGTGGCTGATTTTTTGTCATCTGATTTGACTCCAGATCATTATATTCAGATGGATGTGGTTGTATCAGAACTGCAAAGTCACAATGAGTTCTGCACTGTTACATTTCAGCTCTGTCAATGGTAAAACTGTAACATTAAAATTCCTAGAGAAGGGCTATACACAGATGGAGTTGGACAGTGCTCACAGTACATCTACTACCCAGCTGATTATGTCAGCCATATGTAGTCAAGTATTTGACTCATTGTAGCCTATCTTTTCTGATTTCATCAAACTAACCAACCAGAGTTTACACACCAGATGGTCAAATTAAATACAAACTGAGATTTGATGATGACTGGTCACATCTGCCTTTGAAGCGCGGCGAGTCCACAGACATTCTCCATAAAGACATGAAGGGACTGCCTCTGTACCAGGGTAGAAAGTTTAATTCGTCCATAGAGAACTTTAATAACACATGCAAGAAATGAAGTCTGTTGTGCCATCTGACTACCACAAGTTCTATAACAATCTAGAATTGAGTACGTCACCAGTGCGCAAGTTAAAACCCAAGGTTAAGTCTAATTTGATATGCAGTGTATTGTGTTTTGGTTTATGTAGTTTGTTTTTAGCTAACCAGAGCTTTAGCTTCATTGGGTAGAGCATTTTAAAGCCTCATAATGGTGCTTGGACAAGAGGATAATTCATTCCTGTTGACACTGGATGCTGCTATGGCATACCTCATCTTGATGACTTTCTATGTAAAATGTGTTATTTAATTAGGCCATACATTAGGTGGAGATGCATTATATGAGGTTTAGTTGAGCTTTAAAAAAAATCATATTACTTCTAGAGTCTTCCAACCAAGTTAAACCATGTTTTTAGAGTTAGAAGCATTTCAGTTTCTTCCATTGGAGAACTGATGGGTCGCTTTTCAATCTTGCTCAACTTCAAGCCAAGACCAAAATCAACAAACCAAACAAGAATACGAGACCTTTTCTTTGCCAGTGATGCTGCTGTTGTCGCTCATAATGAATCAACCCTACAAATAATCCAGTGTTTAAGAAGATTGAGATGGCTGGGCCATGTCAAGAGAATGGACGACAACCGGATTCCGAAGCAATTTCTCTATGGACAACTTCCCAGGGAAAGGGACCATGAAGGGGATGGTCAAAACTGAGGTACAAAGACATCTGCAAAAACAGATTATCTAAGCTTGGTGTAGATGTCAGCATCTGTGAAGAAATAACCGAGGACAGGAAAACATGGAGGAAAATGATAAATGAAAGAACTATTATGCTAGTGACTAGAGAGCAAGCACTGCGACAGAATCTGCACTTCAAACAGGAAAAAATTAGCCATAAAAGAAGCTCCATGAAGACAATTCGAAATTCTTCATTCTTCTCTGCCCCCCCCCCCCCCCCTTTTTTTTTGGCTCTCTCTCTTTCAGGCCCCTCCCCCCCTCTCTCAGTCCCCCCCCCCCCTTCTCTCTCTCTCAATCTCTCTCTCTCTCTTTCTCTCTCTCTCTCTCTCTCTCTCTCTCTCTCTCTCTCTCTCTCTCTCTCTCTCTCTCTCTCTCTCTCTCGTAGCTAGACAAGAAACCAATCCTTCCCACAATTTCCTTGAGAATGGAGGATCAAATAGATCTAGTAGCTTTATAGTAAAAACTTAACGACGCACTTAATCTGTCGACAAGCCCATTGCCTAATCAGAATTATGTGGAAATAAAGTGCGACATTCAGTTTTAGATATAATAACAGTATTATTGTTAGATTCTAGATCTACAGTACTATGTAGTACTAATTAGAACTTTTATAGTAGGTTTCCTATTGGATTGACTGCAGGTGTAGTCATTTCGAGTTGTTCGGTAACACTAACGTGTCACGATGACTGAGTTAGACGTAACGAAGCGGGTGGCGTCCCCGCCGGGTTGGAGAATTCTAAACGAACAATTCGTTCGTCGACACTTGGACGTTTAGAAATCCAAAACTGAGCGGTCTATCCGTATAACTCTGGTTTAGGACTTAAAATAATAAAATTTCGGCAATTTTGTTTTAAATACTTAAAGTAGAGTCATGTATTCCAGTCTAGCGCATTTAAAGATAGTAAATCCCCATAGGAGCCTTTGAATTCAGTTTTTTGTCTCTCCTGCAAAATTTACGAAATCGGAGTTGGGCGGTTAGAATTCTCCGCCGACGATATCCTATATATAATTGTTCTTTGGCATACAATCTGTACACTTCATAAGACTATAACTAATAAATCATAAACAATTACATATATCTTTAGCTGCTAATAAACTTGTATTAACATGATAAGAAAAAATAGACAAAGGTGTGTTACATAAACCATCCTTATTTCTTATACTGATAAATCAGGTAAGGATAAAAAAATTCTTTTTTACTTTTTAAAAAGTGTGTTCAACAATTGTTACTTTTTTTTTTACATACAAACCTAGAGCCCCTATATTGAACTAACACTAAAAAAAACTTTTTCCTGATATTCATAAATGATGATAAATTATGCCTCTGAAGCATCAATGCTGCTCACCTTGAAATTGTAGATGCTTGCAATGATTAGCAACACATTGTCCAGTAATTTTCCAGCGCCATAATCTACTTCTTGAAGAAGCTCATCAAATTTTTTGACAACTGTCTGGATGAAGTAAGCACCTGAGAAGACACAAAGTTCAGAATAAATACCAAGACATAGCAGCTATTAACATATAGTCAAAAAAAGAAAAATAATAATCCAATTGTCATGATTACAAAACCTCTTTTTAAGAAAAACTTTGAAACAGAAGCCATGGGATATACCTATAGTACTAGTAGAGTTACAATAACAAAAAATTGTAAACAAGCAAATATGGTGACACCACACACACACAAATAAACAATAGCAGATATGTAAAAAAATAAAGCACACATGTCTACCCAAACATTTGAAGCATCATGATGTACATACAACTAAAAAAAACTACAGCAGCTTGTTCAGAATGGCTGGGGCCTTTCCAATCAGCTCGTATTTTTTTAACTTTTAGAAACCTGACTCACACAATAGCATACATTTTATACACCTAATTTAATTCATGCTTAGCATCTTGCACCAACTCGCTTTGAATTCCTAAGTACTTCCGACCTGCCAACCACTCCTTGACCAAAAAAGCAAGTTTTCATCAAAATAATAAAAATATATATTATCATATCATTTACGTCCATTTGCACAAATATTTCACATAAACTCGAATAAACATTCGGATTTTCACTTCATTTACGATAAGTCGCATGTGACCAGATAGAAACAGAATTCAAGAGAAAAGTAAAAGATTTTCTGTAAATCCCATCAGGATTCTTTGAAGGGCAAAAAATAGTCTAGAGTTCCGATTTTATTAGTGTGAACACTATTTACTTGTGAAAAATCAGTTGCTTTGGTTGTCTCATTGAGTAGGTTGACATATAGAGGGGAAGAGTAATTTAAAACTTGCAAGAGAAATAAAGGGCCCCTACTCAATATTAAATCAAAGTCCATTGAGACAGAGCCAAAAGCAATGAAAAAACAAACAAACCCCAGCCCATGAACTCCGAGGATGGTGCATGAGACTGACAAAGGGAATCTTTTTTTAATGTTAAAATAATCAGTTCAATCAAGGACTAGCAATAGTCATTTGGCAAATTTATCTCTCGTATCTTGTCATAATTGAAACTTGATCAAAGGTAGCCATGAGCACATCTCAATTAGTCAATATGAAGGAAAAATTAATATTCTTTCCCAAAATGTAATCTGCAAAGCAGGTACATCACCATGACAGGTTCTGTCACACCTACCAATTTCTGTCCCAACATTGCTGTGAAGAATGGCTATGAACATGGCTGTCTCAGCCACTAGTCGCTCAGGGGTGATCACTGGAGTCACGATAGCTTCCATGATTAAAGAGGTCATGGTCTCGTTAACATCAGCACGGCTGTTATCCAAGTACAGAGCCTCCACTTGTGAACTGATAGCTTGCATTGCACCTTCACTGACTCTGTGAGAAAAATAATAAAGGTCTTCAACAGCCCAGGGTGGCCTAGAATTGGACAAAATTTCACCACATTTCACACATGGGTTCTTCAAATACGCAATATAAGTTTAGAAAAAAGTTTCATTGCCATGGAGACAGTGGGCATATTGGATTTTGTTTAAGTGTCTTACACAGTTAATATCTCACTTATTTTTCATGGGAATAGGAGGTTATTTTGCATGCATGTTAAGAAACAATAGTTCTAAAAATAGTATGTAAAATTTTCCTTAAATGAATAAGAAAATTTTTTCTTAAGGTAGCATTCAACGCTGTAAAAAATCTGTGAAAGTTTACACTCCAGACAACATCAACAAAAATCTATCCCATATTATACAATATAGGCCTATATAAAATTCAAGACAATTTTTTATTGTTACGTCTTCTCTTCTTTCAGTGAAAATTTCATGAAGCTTGGAGAAAACATGTAGGAATTTTTTTTTTTTTTAAGTAAAAGAAAATGGATGAAAAAGTTTTTTTTAAAAAGGGTCATTATGAGGATACGGTTGTGACTAACAAGCCTTATACGTGACAAAATAAGGGTTTGGGATTCTTATGCCATGAAATATTTGTTAGAGGGGCTGAAGAAGCCAAATATGCCCACTCTTGATCTCCACAATTTTGACCTACAAAATCGGACCTTTCAGCTGTCGCCCCCCCCCAAGTCAAAGGTCCCCCATTGATGCAGTGTGTCTAAAGAGGCGGGCATTCGAACCTACATGGTGAGTGAGCAAATTTGAGGCCGTCATCATTCTGTCTGCCAATACAAAACAAATGCTGAGTGCTTTGAGAAACTCACACGTGATGACAGAAGGCTCAAAATTCGTGACAGTGATGATACGGTACCTTAGATCTATTTAATTCAACAGTTCACAGACATGTCTGTAATGAGGTGGTATAACACTGAAAACATGAAAGCGGAGAGGGTTCCAAAACAGTTGACAGATGACCACAAGGCATAGCCCATTGATGTTTGCACGGCATTGTTGGAGCGACTCAGGCAAAATACATATTAACATGATCACTTGGGACCTGTGCCTACTGGGTACCGCAGAGAAGTTAATGAAAGTTGTTGTTTTTCTGGATCGAAGTCCTGATCTTGCCACTTCAGACGTCCATCTGTGTGGACCAACGAAGCAAGCGAGTCAGCCAAATGAAAATAACTGCTCTGCTGTGTCCGTTAGGATTTCACAAAAAACTACTCCCCTGATTGCACTAAAATTAATTTCATATAGTTTTGCGCTAAAATTATTG